CCCGACCCCCCAAACCCGGCTGCCTCGGACCCCCCCACTCGTGGCGGGGGGCAGCGGTGGGACAGGGCCCCACGTCGGGGTGGGAGGGAAGGCGGGACCATCCCTCCAGCATCCCGGCTCCGGCGGCGGGTTGGGGGTCCCCACGCATCCCCCACGGATCCCCACGGAGCCCCCCCGTGGCGGTGCTGGCCGCCTCGCCCCCACCACACCCTGCCACGGGTGGGGGACCCCGGCGCCGGGCCGGCTGCCCAGTGGGTGGGACGGGGACGGACTGGGGCTGACCCTTTCCCCCGTCCAGCTTTTGCGGGGACGCCGTGTCCCAAGGTTTGGCTCAGTCCCAGGGGAGGTGACGGCGGTTGGATTCCCATCGCCGTGTCCCCGTGTCCCCACTGCCACGGGCATGGGGAGGGGACACCTCTGTCGGTGGGTGCCGATGCACCCCGGGATAGGGTGGGCACCCCAGGTTATCCCCACAGCCCCGTGCCCTGTCCCGGCAGCGGGAAGAAAACAAACAAACAAGTGCTCCGCTTCTTGTAGGACCTACCGTAACCCCTCAGGGGTGCGCATGGGGGCTGGAGGGCTGGCTGCCCCCCTGCCCAACCCCCTATCCCGGCTGGGGGTGGGAATGGGAATTTGGGCTCTTTAAATGCCCCCAGGAGCAGGGTTATCCATTAGCCAGGCAGCTTGCCCGCTTCCTGCTCCGCAGCAGCCAGGACGTGCTGCCGGCACTGCCGGCAAACTTTGGACCCGTCCCGCCTGGCTGCCTCCGGGACAAGACCCTGGAGGGACGCAGCCGGGGGACCCCGACATCCTGGTCCTGGGGGACGCAGGGGTCTCGGCCCCGGAGGGCAGTGGGGTCGGGAGCGGGGAGGATGTGTGGCAGCGGGGCTGGATGTGGGGTTCAGCCCTGCCCTGAGCCACCGTCACCCCACAGGAGCCCCCTGTCACCCCGCCGGCTGCAGAGCCCCCCCGGTACCCACCGCCTGCCCGCTAGCCCCAGCATGGAGCGGGGTGGCCTGGGGCTGGCCAGTGACCGGAGCCGTGCAGCCCCCGGCAGAGGTGAGCCCCCCCTGCCCCAAGCTGTGCCGTGCCATGGGGTACCCCGTGCACCCCAGCCCTGCCGGCTGGTGACACCCCGCTTTTTGCAGACACCCTCAGGCCAGGGACCCTCCCCAGCCTGTCCGACATGGGAGACCCTGTGGAGGCTGTCAGGAGGGAGGAGAAGAAGGTAAGGCCGGGATGGTCCCATTCCATACGGGATCGGGGATGGCTGGGATGGGGGAGTCCCCCCGTAACTGCTCCTCTCCCTCCGTAGATGAAAGCCGCTCGCCTCAAGTTCGACTTCCAAGCCGAATCACCCAAGTAAGTGATGGTGCTGCTGGGGGTCCCCGCCGTGCCCCTGCGGTCCCTCGGGTGGTGGATGGGGACCGGGGGGAGCCCCAGGATGCGGGGTGGTCGTGCCGGCCGGGCTGGGGGACGGGTTGGTGCCCCCCCCCCAGGACTGGTGCGAGCAGTGTCCCTGAGCGCTGCTGCTTGCAGGGAGCTGACGCTGCAGAAGGGGGACATCGTCTACATCCATAAGGAAGTGGACAGGAACTGGCTGGAGGGCGAGCACCACGGCCGTGTGGGCATCTTCCCCTCCAACTACGTGGAGGTGAGCCCCGGGAACGGAGAGAGGGCAGCCGGGCTTGGAGAACCTGGCACCGACCCTCACCCATGTCCCCCCCGTCCCCAGATCCTGCCCCCCACAGAGGTGCCCAAGCCCATCAAGGCACCCACCATCCAGGTGCTGGAATACGGCGAAGCCCTGGCGCTCTACAACTTCCGAGGGGAGCTGCCCGTCGAGCTCTCCTTCCGCAAGGTACCGCCGCGCCGTGCCACGCCGTGCTGTGCCATGCCGTGCCGTGCTAACCCATCGTCTCATCCCATCGGCAGGGCGAGCGGGTCTGCCTGGTGCGGCGGGTGGATGAGAACTGGTACGAGGGACGTATCTCCGGCACCAGCCGTCAGGGCATCTTCCCCGCCACCTACGTGCAGGTGTTGAAGGAGCCGCGGGTGAAAACCACCGCCGAGGACTTCCCACCCTCTCCCGCCTCCGCCAGCCCCCGGCTCCCGGCCGGCTCCCCGTCCCTGCAGCGCTCGCCCGGTCCCCGGGGTCCCCCGCTTTCCGCCAGCTCCCCCCGGGTGGCAGAGTGGGGTCCCGGCGAAGCCGGTGGGTGCCCGTCCTCACCCCGCCACCTTGGCTTTGCCTTCCCCCCCTCCCCAAAGCTGCCCCGCGCCGGTGCCCCGAACCCCTCGCCAGCCCCCGCTGGCCCCCCGCACCCTGCGGCCACCCATCCCCAGGAGCCCTGGTGCCCGACCTGGCCCCCCGAGGAGGTGAGCAACCCCCCGCTGCAGCCCCCAGCCCCGGCATCGTGCCCGGGGACCGCTGGGGATGTGGGTGCTGACCCATAATGTTGCACCCATCCTCTCCCCCCCTTGCAGTGCACGGCCCCGGGGGCACCCACCAGCACCCACCCCAACCCTGCCCCATCCTACAACGGCTCCGAAATCCAGTGGACCCCGTAAGTAGGGCCAGGAGCGACACCATAGCATGGTGTCCCCACGCGGGACCCGTGGTGGTGCGGGCTCTGGCCACGCTGTGTCTCGCAGGTACCGGGCACTGTACCAGTACCGGCCCCAAAACGCCGACGAGCTGGAGCTGCTGGAGGGCGACCGGGTGGACGTCATGCAGCAGTGCGACGACGGCTGGTTCGTGGGTACGTGGCCGCCGGGACGGGGACGGGGACGGGGACGGGTTGCCACCATGGCCTCTCACCACCTCTCCTTGCCTTTATCCCGCCAGGCGTGTCCAGGAGGACGCAGAAATTTGGCACTTTCCCTGGCAATTACGTGGCACCGGTGTGACCGGCGGTGCTGAGAAGAGGAGCCCGGTGGGAGGTGCGGGGCCGGGGGCTCCCCACTGTCCTGCCTCGGGCACCCTGCGTCCCCGCTGCATCCCCTCTGTGGCCCCCCACGGGGACGAAGTGCCTCCAGCTCCCTCCCGCCCCTATGGGGCTGCCTCTAACTGGGACCAATCCCCCCTGCGTAGGGGGGTCTCCCCCACCCCAGTGCCTTAACCCGACCCCTCCTCACCGCTGCCTGGTGCCTTATCGCCCACCGTCCTGGTGGCTGTACCTCTCCATCCCTCTCCAGCCAGTGCTGGGGGGGGGGTCCTGGCCGGTGCCAGGCCTGACCATGACGGTTGTGACCCAAGATGCCGGTCTGGGGCCGTGCCACACACCTGGGAGTCGCGTTTAGCTTCTTGTCCATCATTAAAGCTCAGCTCAGCCCGAGGGAGGCCCAGCCTGGTGGTGCCGGGACGGGAGGGAGCCGGTGGGATGGTGCCCACAGGGAAATGTGGGGCTGGAGCCCTGTGGGAGGCTGTG